AAAGAATTCTTCGAAATTTTTAGTATTATTATTACCTTTACGTTTGCGAGGTCGACAAGGTGTTCCTCGAGGAAGCTTATGAATTCCTTGAAGTTCTCTTCGGTTGGGAGATAGTGACCGCTGTATGGCCAGATTGCCTGCAAGAATCGAATCGAATCAGTTTGGGTAAAAATTCGTTAGTTTTCGAATACGAGTGGTTAATTACTCGATCGTTCGCAGTTTAATTATATTATATTATATTTATTTACCTCGAGAACACCAGCATGAGCGACCAAGCGGCCTGCGGCCGTGATTGCGCCTCCGGCTAAGAAACTCGAGTGCTGGAAGAGGCCTTTCTTCTTCTGACCCACGTAAAGAGTTCTTGTCGTGCTCAGAACGAATATCCATTTCGAGCCCTCGATTGTTTCCACTAACATACCGCTTTCTTTGTAAACGAGCTTCCCATTTTCAACCACAACCTCAAATGACTCTCTCTCCTTCTGTTAGAATCAAAACTTAATCAAAATCACAAATTCTGAATTTTATCGGTATTATTATTTATTTTCCGGTGATTGCAAAGATAAGTCAGATGATCGTGGACTTACTGGACCGAGGTACTTGATGCATTGCCGTTGCAAATTAGTTCTCGGGCACCTCTCGAGATTTACTTCTTTTCCATCTCCAACGTCCAACCTTTTTTGGATCAGAGAATAAATGAAGTTAGAATTAACCGAAAAAACGCGTACTAGCCAGTCGACAACTAACGAGCATTGTCATCCATAGAGGATATTATGATCAGTAGCTTACCAGTAAAAGAAAGGCTGAGAACTTTCGCTATTGAACCATACGTCGTAATACAGATGCAAATTGTGGCCGTATCTATGGCGCGGATCAATCTGAAGGAAAATTTGAATTGAGAAAAGATACATGAGTAACAATAAAGTGAAATTTGATGATTTAACTAGTTGCAAATTTAATTTATTAAATAGAAACTCGAAAGTTTTCCCGGACTTACCGCTTCAAGCCAGTGCCGTAGAGCCAGTTTTTGAGCCTTCTCATCCTTAGACAATCCTTTCCCAACCTGCAACAGATTCAAGATTTTATCCCCATCTTCATATTCATATTCAAAACAAAAATCATTAAAATCGAAATGTTATTCTCAAACATACAAACCTTTGCTGCTCTAGTCCGAGCTCTGGCCCACCTCGAAACAGCAGATTCTCGTTTCTCAACATTGAAAAACGAGACCGAGCTCCTTTTCAAAGCAGCAAAGTCCAATGCCTTCCACCTACAACAACACACAGTCAAAACACAAATCAGTTAATTAAACTTTAACCAACAAAAAACAATCATATTAAACAAAAGAAAACTACGAACCATAGCTCCTCCACAACAACAGCACAATCCGCGAGATTCCTTCTCGTTCGATAGCTCTTATAAACCTTTTGGAGCTTAACAGCTGCCGCATCAAGCTCGGTTACGGGCCTTGGTGAGAACATTATGGCTGGCTCAGGCAGAGTTAGCTTACCGCAATCACTTTTGTCATTAGATTGTGATTTCGCGCTCAAGCTTAAGTCCTTGAACGAGAGCGAGGTCCCGAGCACCAACCTGACGGGCTCACATTTAGGCAATTTAATCGAGTTTTTTCGACTCATCTCCTTGACTTCTTTATTAGCCACCGTCATTTGTGCCGGTTGTTCGGATATAATTGGTCGAGTTTTGTTCACGATTTCTTGCCAGGCGGAGAAAAGTATTGAAAGTGATAATCCCATTAAAAACTCTTGAGGCCCCTCACCTGCACGTAATTTTTTTTTTTTTCAGAAATTCAGGTCAGTCGAATGAAATATTCATTTTTACTGAAGNAAAAAAAGAATTTGTCCAAAATTTTGTCTTTTTTTGACCAAAATCTAGCTTTGAAAACATCACAAGATCAACAGCAAAATGAGAAGAACAAAAACAGCCACCAAATTGAACAACACTTCATGGTTAACTCACCATAAAAGAGCAAGCAATTATAATAGTTTGCAATTGATGTAGCAAGTAAACATATTCTAAATTCAAAGAACCAAACAGAGTAGCAATAGAAAAACAAAAACAAAAACTTAAAATCACTTACCAGAAATGGAAGACCCCTTGGATACTGTGAAAGTTTGAAAGTGCACTTTTGCCTGAGAGAAATATTTAATATATGTGTGAAATGAAAAAAGATAAGTTGGGCAATGTGTGGATGTGTGTGTTGATATGATCAAACACTCAATATCCTAATATATATATACACACACACAGACATAGTGTTGGGAGGAAAATTAGAGTTTGAATGATCGGAGTCCAAATAGACCTTCAAATACGTATACGTGCACAAAGGGGCTCTTTTTTGAAGTCCTTTTTCTTATTTCCACTGGAAAATTTTGACACAGAAAGTTCTGAGTGTGTTTTATTTGAAAATGAGAATACAGGAGAAAAAAAGGGTGGTCTTTGATTCAACAATTTATAGTTTTATACCCACTTTCAAGGCCACGAAAGTTTTGATGAATTCAAAGATTTGCACACTCTCACACTTTTTTCTCCCCTTAATTTTCTTTGCTACGGAAAAAAGGGAATTTCTCTATGTAGATGTAAGCCTTTTTGGGGTTAGCTAGTAACAACCCAAAAGCACTCGCAAGAAAACTTTATATTGCGTCGACAAATATTTTCAACGCGCATAAAAAATTGTAAAATACGGGATTAAATATCACTAACACAATTAAAAAATATAAATCAAATGTTATCATATATATATCGCATCAATTCAGAATATTAAATCTACGTAACATGAATCCCATATTTATAAGAGGATTCCCTTAATTAGGACTCAAATCCTACAAAAATCAAGGATAAATATATATAAATCATGTAGGACATCGTTCAATTAGACAACAATATCTATAGACGTTGCTAATTTTCGAGCAGTCGAGCTAGTTTAATTGCATAATCAGGGCCAAGTCATGATCAAATCGGAACCACTTTTGAGTGCTAACTTGGTCGAGAAAATAATTTGTATTAATTAATTTAATTGTGCATGTGTGTGCGTGGAGGAGAATATGAGCGGTCAAAGAAAGCAAGCCTAAAGATACGCTGCTTCCTTGAAAATCAAGTACAATGTAAGGAGAATATAAAGAGAAAAAGAAAAATATTTGATTTTCATTTCATATTTTGCAGACAAAGAAAGAGAGACGACATGAAATAATTTAATTATTTAAAAAGGACAATTTGTTGGCTGAATAGTAAAAGCAAGTTTAATGCAGGTCATCGGAGATATTTTGTCAACTTGTGTGGATAATAATATAATAAAATTGTATAGCGTCGTCATAGACCAATTAATAATACGCGCCAAAACGAAACGACAGCGTGTTGATGGGGGTTTCGATGTGTCGTTTGTTTGATGCTTACAACTCATAACTCACACCGTCATCGGACAGCTTTCGGAATGAATTTCAGTCTACAGTTTGTGCATTCCGTTGACTGTCAACCCACAGTTTTGACAAGTTGATCGCCTTCATCGTTAGTTATTCATCAGGTAGAGAATTGGACTCGGAGAATTCTGAATCATTCCAAAAATTGAACCGAAATCAATTCGAATTGAAAAATATTTGTTGACCGTTTGACTTTTTTCGAACCGAACCAAAAAAATAATTGGTACGGTTCTGGATATTTCATAAATATCCGTACTGAGAACCGAACCGAACCGTCTTGTACCGTACCGAATCGAAGAACCGAATTATAAAAATAGATGCGTGTTATTAATATATTTTATGTTAACTTTGATCCTATATAATTTGAAAATTTGAAAATACAAATAAAATATCGTAATAACAATTAAGATTCACTTACATGTCATGTTTAGTAATACTTGATATAGATTTGAATTTCTCCTGTTTTAAAAAAAATAAAATAGAATGAAAGGTTAAAGATTTTAAAAAATATATATATTTAAACTTTACTTAAATTTGCCGATACTTAGCCTTAGTTTATCTTATAACTAAAATGGTATGGAATGTTAAAAAAAATTACTTTGATATAAAACTGTATTATATTTTGTTTGAATTTAAATTTTCAATGTTAGTTGAATTTAGTCTTAACTAAAATTTAGGGTTACTTCTAAAGTTGATTTAAAATAAAATTTTTAGTATGATAAAGTATTGATGAATGTTGGATTTAAAAAGAAAACATATAAAAAATAAAATATAACTAGGTGGTCATTCACAAAAATTTTAAAAATGATAAGAAATCTCCGAATATCCGAACCGAACCAAACCGAACCGAAACGTTCCGATAGTCCCGAAAACTGAACCAAAAGATAAAAATCTCCGAACCGAACCGAATAGATTTTTTGGTACGGTTATGAATATCAAACTTTAGTGATCTCCGAAATTCGGTACGGTTATAGAGATTTATCAATTTCCGAACCGTACCGACCCATGCTCACTCCAAGGTATACCGTATACAGTATATACCAAAATTATTGGGATTATTTCAAACCATGTGTCATTTCAAAAATTTTATTCAGAAACTCGATTTGACAATAACGTGATTTCATTAAATAATTATTTTGATTAAATTTTATATTATATTTAAAAACCAATGTGAATAATAAATATAAATATAACTTATATTGTTTCATTAATTAAAATAAATTTATTTTTGTATAAAATGTCCAAATTAAAAATTTAAGTAGTTGAGTAAAAACTATCAGTCATAAGATTTTTTATGCCAAAAAAATCAACACTCTTTATCATGCTAAAAAAATGAACAATGCATTTCACACAAAAACTATTTGAAATGTCGTAACAAAAACTGAATTAAATCGAGACACACTAATTATATTGGCCTGCGTTCTACAGAAAAAAGTACACCGTGTATTGATTAATTTTTCAACAAATTTTCTAACAAAAAACAGTCATCAAATAACCTAAATAAATTTTCTCACTTTATACCATATATTGATTAAACCAAAACATTCTGAACTTAGTCGTTTAGATACAACATATGCAGCAACTTATTATTGTTATGCATGCGTTAATTTGGCTCGAGCTTTGTCCTTTATGCACTTTGTTATGGTGGTGCGCAATCAATGCTAAGCGCTTATTTCTGTTCTTCATTTTAACTTGTATTAATTTTAGATGTTGTCACTCCAAATTTTTTCATTGTTCTTCATTTTAACTTGGAGGTTTTATTTCTGTTCAGAGATTGGACAACCCTTTTTTCGTGAAATAATTTCATTATCATTATCCATTTATGCTTATTATCGTTGTACATTGGGAACGAATCCCTACAACCACTCACATATCGATCTCTTCAGGTAAAGATATCAACATTGGTAGCAAAGATTTCATCCGCCAATAAGTGAAGTTCCCTATATCGACTGTCGTTTCGACACTCAGTTCTGGAAGGCGTTGGATCACCAGCATCCCAGAGTTTGGGATGCCATCGATAGGACGGGGTTTGGCCCGTTGTTTCGAATGGGCAGAGTCATGACCGACAATAGCCTCGTCACGTGTCTAGTGGAAAGGTGGCGACCGTAGACACATACCTTCCACTTTGACTTCGGGGAGGCCACCATCACGCTGCAGGACGTACAAGTCCTTTTCGGTCTCCCGATCGACGGAGAACCTTGTTGGGGAGCGACTGAAGATAAAACGCCCCTTGAATGGCAAGAATTTTGTAATGATGAGCTAGGGTTCGAGCCCTATGTTCAGGTAAATTTTTTATTATATTTTTTTTTTATTTATTAATGTTTACTCCATTCACAAATTTTTAATATATATATAAACCACTCTCAGAATGCCAACGAACCGGTTCAAGACCCCAAGACTTGGGCCATTACAGGCCAGTATTTGAAGGCCTATGCGTTAGAAGAGGAGTGCAACCAGCGACTAACCGATGGAGAGCCTGGCTTCACCTACGAGTCGAGGGCGAAGGCCCTTATACTCTGGTCCATCGGTTCCTTCTTCTTCCCCGACCAGAGGGGCAATGGAGTGAACCTCTACTGGTTGCAGCTTTTGACCGACTTCAATAAGATCAAGACGTACAGCTGGGGTTCGGCGGTCCTGGCTGGAGTGTATAGAGCGCTCTGCACGAGCGCCAAGTCCGGGGAAAACTGGATCAAGAACTGTGTCCAACTGATTCAGGTAAATTTATTTACTTGTTATTTTAAAATTCATTTTTTTTTTTAATTTAGACTAATATCTAATAACAAATGAATATGTCGATATGTGTAGGTTTGGGCATATGAACGTATCCCTTGTATTCGCCCAAGAATGAGGGATACGAACTTTGAGAGAATCCCTCATTGTCCCCTAGGTGGAAGGTAATAAAATTTATTTATATTTAATATTTATTTTATTTCCACTATTAAATTTTGTGATTACAATTTTATTTTTTTTTACTGATTTTTAAGGTGGGTGGGAAGGAGGAGCACAACACACCTGGGCAAGGGAACAGCCACCACCCGGGATCAACTGACAGGGCTCACTGAGACGGATGTAAGATTATTAATATAATTATTATTTTTATTTGTTGTTTGTTTTAATTTTTTTATAACTTAATTCCTAATTAATTTTTTTTTTTTATTTTTTATTTTTCAGTTCGAATGGCTACCCTATCAGTGGCACCTGCAAAGGAATGCTCTCTCCCGACCCAGTGTACAGAAGGTTCACACCTCTGTATGTATAGGGGGTGGATCTTCAACTGGAACGTCCGTGAAGTCCATATGCCTGATAGGGTCCTCCGTCAGTTCGGGTGTCGGCAGTCCATCCCCGAACCTCCTCTCATTCCGACTGAGACCGAATATCAGAGACACCATCGAGGCCAGGGGATGACCGGGAGGGCAGTTTTTGACTGGGTGGACTTTCACGGAGAGCTTGGGAATGCTTGGGTTGAACATAGAGCCGAAAATGTTATCCCAACATTTCCTGTGGAGTCATTCATTGAACCCGAGGCGAGTTACTTTGATTGGTTTCACAGTATCACTGTGAGACTACTCGGTGACCCTGCCAAGTACGCCGTGGCCCAACCGGACAGAGGCTTTCGCCCACTTGCCGAGCAGGGGAAGTGCGACGTAAGTAATATATATTTTTGTTTTTTATTCTATTATTATTATTATTATTATTATTATTATTATTATTATTATTAAGTAGTTGTTCGTGTTTCATTTCATTCTAATTGACTTTGAATTTAATTTTCAGGCTACCGCCATGGAGGGAGCTTATCACACGTTAACGAATGTTGACCACCTCTTTCATACACTCCCTCCAGAGGTGCAGGCCGCAGTCTGACAAGCCAAGAGCCTTCTCTACAGTTCTATGACTGTCGGAGGCGGAGATGTCGCACAAGGGCCGTCGTCGAGCCAAGTTCTTTCGCAGAAGAGCTACGTCCGATCCCAGAGAACGCAGTCACACCGGGCGTCGACCTGCTCCTAACATTGGTGGAGGTAGAAGACGACGCGACCGCCAACCCGCTGCCGACCCCGTGCCTCAGGAAGAAGAAGAAGAAGAAGGTGAAAATTTTTAACTTAACACAAAAATATAATTTTATTTATTTAGTTATTGTGATTTTTAAATAAATTATTTATTCAGGTGAAGAAGAACAAGAAGAAGAAGAACCAGTTACGCCCACAACATCGTCTTCTTCACGACAAGCACAACGTCGGATCAACCAACGACAACGCAATCCTACGAATCGATACACTTCGAATTAGTTTGTATTGTTTTTAGGGAATTTTGTGAACATTTGTGTTAATTTTCTTTTCATTTTATATATTCATATTTGTGTTTTGAATTAATTATTGTCGTTGAGTTTTTGGATATACTTTATGTTGGATTATTTTGGGCGATTTCATTCATATTAGTTGCTTGAACAGGTTGTGATTTGTTGAACAGGTTGTGAAATGGATTCAAAAAAATTATTTGCATTTTTCTGCAGATAAAAACGGATTCATAGAATCCATTTTATAAATATTAGGGCAAAATTAGGGCAAACTGAATTTTGGGAATAAAACGTATTTGCGGAATACGTTTTTTGAAAAACGTATTCACCTAATCCATTTTAATTTTAAAACGTATTACACAAATACGTTTTATATTTAAAATTTAATTTTAAAATTATTTTTTTAAAAAACGTATAAATATAATTCGTTTTATAATTAAAAAAATTATTTTTAATTATAAAACGTATTAAAATAACACGTGTTTTTTGTAATGTAATTAACTTAATTACATTAATTATATTAATAAATTATTTTTAGTAAAACGTATATATGTAATACGTTTTAAGTTGTAAAACGTATTCAAGTAATACGTTTTTTATTGAAAAACGTATTTATCGAATACGTCATTTTTATTTTTTTCTACTCGTTTTTTTTTTTTCTTAATAAATAATTCCATGTAGTACACGGGTACTTATTAAAAAAATTAAATTTAAAATTAAATAATAATAACAAAAATTATTTTAGTTTTTAAATACTTTTTTGAAAAATATATTATTATTTATATTTAAATTGATACCGTCACTTATACGACTTACCATCTTATATTATATATTTTTTAATTTATATCAGATAACTACTTTGTAATTCAGTTAGTTAGATAATTATATTTTTTTCGAATTAATATTAATAGGTAATTGAAAAACTCGTTTAAAACTACTTTATTCAATATAGATATATACTCTATTTTATGAATTAAATTTATGCTATTAAAGAGATAAAATGTATTTTGAATTATATAAAATATGAAAAAATAATACATGTATGAATTAGTTAAAAACTCATTTAAAACTATAGAATAGTAAATTTATGGAATTGTCTTAGGATATACTCCCATATTAATATGATAAAGTTAATACACAAATTTATGGAAGGTAATAAATTTATGATAATGAAAGAGATATTTATAGCAATAATGTAAGATGAAATAATTATTTATGGTTGATTCTAAGCTTTGATTATGTTTTCAATTTTTTTATCTAAACGTGAATACGAAGCATAATAATTCGACGGTCAAGGACGTGCCATCTCCGGACACCAGGTCGAGGTTATCGTCATCGATGCAAATCTCGACCGGGAAAGGCGGTGGACCAGCTTTTGTCGGCCAGGTTTTCAGCATGTGTGACCTTACCGGCACTGGTTTGATGGCCGTGTCCACTCATTTTGACATCCCTTTTCTATCCAAAAGGTATTGGGGCTAAGTTTCAGTCCTTACCAGAAGTCAGAATTTCACAATTTCAAATCATTACTGTTTTAATATATGAAGCTTCGATGAAGTTTGTAGAATCATCCGATTCATTTACTCATTGTGTTTTTGTTATTCTGCTTTAGTAGAATATATCCGCCATTTAAGTTGATGCTACTAATTGTTTTAGGTTTAGTTTTCAGCTGAAATTAAGATAACTGAAGTTCTTCACAGTGCTGGAATTGGAAAGAATAAGCATGCCAAGGTTTCCGATCATGTCAGCTTGTTAATTGTTTATTATTGAATTTTATTGAATCTATTCAGGCTTTTTGTGTGATGAAGTATTGTCTTGGGGGCTAGTCGTGGTCTTAGGATCTGAAATTTGCTATTTGAGAGGTCTGAACGGGAAATAATGTAAACAGAAGCAAAGTATGTCAGTGCATAGTCCAAAAGGCACACTCATATTTCACTGTTAGTTCCTGACAATCATTGAATTTATATTTAGTTTAGTGTCATATTTGTTTTCCCATGTGGCTTCTGGTAGGCGCATTGATCGTGCCTGAACGCTTTTTACTACTTGTGCTTGTTTTAGTAATGATGTATTAGCAGTATTTTTGCATTGCCATTTGCTGCTGCCTGCCAGAGTGGCTAAAGAAGATCTTTTCTGCAGTCACTAAAAGTGAAAGAAATGGTCCTGTATTTCGTTTCTTCATGGATTTGGGCGATGCTGGTATGGTTTTTATGGCATGCTCTTCACTTTGTTTTGCTAGGAAGATCATATTCAGCTAACAATTTTCTTGCTTAACTCCTGTAGTTTATCATCCCCCACCTTGTTAGCTCATTTCCCACTTTCATCTATTTATTTGTTATTCATTTGGTCATGTTTGGTTAATTGAGTTAGTCTTTAGCTAAAGGGTTACCACTTACCAGTCTATTCTCAAGTTGCACGGTCATATGGTATTTGGCGCTTAATTTTAACAAAACATACATTGCCTTCACTTTTGATAATTGCTTTGGTGAAATGCGTGAAACTTAATGCCTCGAGTTGACGATGTATCTAATTCATATTGTTCGCAGTTTCTTATGTAAAACAGCTCAATATACCAAGTGGGGTGGTTGGTGCTTGCCGTCTTGATATTGCATATGAGCATTTCAAGGTTCTTCCTTGCTCAGTATCAGTGTTTATTACTTGGTATACTGAATTGTAGCTTTTTTTATATTGCTATTAAAACCTTACTTTCACATGTTATAGAAGCAAATGATGCTCTTCCTACACATCTAAGAATGTTATTAATTCATTATATTAAATATAGTTGTGAATAGTAAAAGGGCCAGTTATTAAATTTGATGCAAAAATTATAGTTTCAAATGGTGGCCGCATTTTCCACAGGATGCTCGTTTATCTGAAACTCCATTTCTTGAATTTTTGGGTGTACAAAGTATGAATATCATTATCATCACGAGATTAGACAATTTACTCTTAGATCACATAGATGTGGTTTCTTGTAAAATTAACTAGCTCAAATAATTTGTTGTATGTCCCATGTGATGCAGGAGAAGCCTCACCTGTTTCAGTTTGTTCCAAATCAAAGACAGGTTAGGCACAAGCTGATACTCAAAATCTTTGAAACCTCCATAGCACATGGATGTTAGGTATTATGCCATTCAATCTCCAACTTCCATAATTTACTTCTTTACAGGTCAAGGAAGCCAACAAGCTTTTGAAAAACTTGCCGCAGAACGATGAGAGAATGAAAGTGGACGGTGTTCCTGTGTTTAGTGCTCAAAACTTGGATATTGCAATAGCAACAAATGATGGCATCAAGTGGTAGGTTATGTTTATGAAAAATGCTACAAGTACATAATAAATGTACATAGAGGTGTACATAACACTCACATAGTGGGGTCCACTTGATTTTTTTATTTTTGGCGGGTCGCACTAAATGTGAGCTTTATGTACACCCCTATGTACAATATTATGTACCTATAGCCTTTCTCTATGTTTATATACTGTATATAGTATTGAGTGAGAGAACTTCTCCTGTTGTTTTCTTGGTAGGACATAGGTAAACAGTTCATTCCTTGTACATCAAGCAACTCAAATATATCTACGATATCTCACCACTTATTTCCTTCTTCAAATGTTTCTTCAAATGTGCGTAGTAGTATTTACCACGGACGTCAAGTTCTCACAGAATTTCACGTTGAAGTAACCGAAAATTGTCAGCATATAGTAAAATTACTCTGACTAAGTTTTTCACCATCCCACAATAAAAGGACACGTTGAAGCAATGACATTGTGTCATGCACATCCTGAAATATTGGATTCAAAACTTAGTAAGTGGCCAATGGAAATCCTGCATCATAAGAATATACAGGAAACATCTGGATGACAAAATTGCTAGAATATTTGAAGTGTTATAGTGCATTTTTTGCGTCTTTGTGTTTATGTATTTGCTTTGTGCAATTCCTCACATTCATTCAACAGAATTTCTACCTCTCACTTTCTGGATCTCGTGACATTTTCCCTCTATCAGGTACACTCCTTACTTTTTTGACAAAAACATGCTGGATAATATTCTAGAAGATTCCATGGATCAACATTTCCAAGCATTAATTGAAACTCGACACTTTCAACGTCATGGGGATGATAGTATTGACGACAGTCTCACTGCCGAGGCTGTTGAAGAGATGGGAGAGAGCATGTGGGACCCTCCAGAGGTGCACAATCTGTCTCTCACTTGCTGCAAAATTTTATCTAGAAATCAATAGATCACACCAAATCTGGCCCAAACAGAAAAAAAATAGAAACAATATAGGAGGAGCCTTCTGTAATATTATATTGAATATAGCTGAAAGCATTACATGCTTCTTTCTTCTTTTTCTTTATTTCATTCTTTTTTTGTGTGTATGTTTTGTCTTTCTTTCCCTTTTTTTTTGCGAATGTTCTTTATTCTTATTTTTTTTAAAGTTTTTTAGTCATTATCATTAATAAAGGGTTATTCTGTTTACTTGTTTTCTCTGATAGGTCCAGGAAGTACTAGATGAAGTGGGTTATCCTACTATACCACTGAGCATCATTTCAAAGGCTGTCGAGATACAACTTATGTATGCTGTTGACAAGGTTCTTCTCGGAAACAGATGATGCGGAAGGCCACTGGAATTCAACCCAAATTTCAGTACATGGTTGACTCGTTTGAGAGAAGGTACAAGCTGAACTTTCATTTTTTTTTCTCCGTACAATGAAAGCGAAATTTGACCATAGCTTTCAAATCAATAAAAAATTTAAACAATTAGTTACATTGCTATATGTCTCTGTTTGATTCGTTTACACTTTACACTTGGCACTCGTCTTCACCATCTGTCATGCCCTTCTTTTTTCCTCCTTTTTGTTGTTATTATTATTATTTTTTATTTATTTTTATTTTTTTCCCTCCCTTGCAAAATGGTTTATGTTCATATGTGCATAGAAGTGCGCTAAATTGTGGGAAGCATTTTGTTAAGCCCACTGCAAAAGTGGTGGCCAAATGAGCTTTCTCTAAGTTGATATGTGATGGGAAAGTGAAGAAGATTTTGATTGATGGTAACAAAAAATGGGGTGAAAAAGTTTATTCTGTTTTATTAAAGAATACCAAGAACAA